CCCTAGTGCTGGCGATTTGTCAGCATTTTCCCCCGAAAAGCCCCAGTTTTGGGGGGGGGGGGAGCTGGAATCACCCAGCTGTGACTTTCCCTGCCAAACTGTCTGCCCAGACAGAGGATCGCACCGCGTCTCTCTCTCTCTATTTTTCCTCTTACAATGCAGAATTACAAACAAGCCCTCCCCGCTCGGGAGGCATCCAGCTTCGTCACAGCCCCGTTCCAACGTCCCTGCCCTTTTTGGGGGTGGGGAGGTTGTTTTGTTTGGGGTTTTTTTTTTCCCAGAGGAATTGAAATTCCGGAGGTTATTTTAATACAGCGCAGGCACGAAGCGCGCAAGGTGTTTGGAAACAAGGCAGCTGCTAACCAGAGCACAATATTCCTTCCTCGTGCAAAAGGACCTCCCGAGCCTCCTCTCTGCTGCCCTTCTTGTTGCTGCTTGAGTGGTTCCTGTAATTAGGACCTCGCTTCATCCCAAATTGCCATTCCAGAGGCTCATCCCAGGAGGCAGATGAGCCCGGTCGGTTCAAGAGCTGGAGTCGATGGGCAGCTCATGGCTCATCCTTTGCTCGGGGAACTTGGGGAACTCCTTTGTTGGGGTCCCACCACCTGCAGAGCTTTGCTCAGCCTCCAGTCCCACGGCAGGGCCACCCCTCTGCGATGCCTGGCTGAAGTGGGGGTACAGGAAGGAAGGGAGAGTTGGCTGGAAAGCTGGGCTGAGCTCCTCACAGAGCTATGGAGCATGCAATGAGGCCACCAGGGAGGACTCGAAGCTTGACTCATAGCATCAAGAAGAGTGCAGGTCGAGAGAGGTCATCCTGCCCCTCTGCTCTGCCCTGGGGAAGCCCCATCTGGAGCACTGGGTCCAGTTCTGGGCTCCCCAGTTGCAGAAGGATAGGGAACTGCTGAAGAGGGGACAGCAGAGGGCTACAAAGATGATGAGGAGCCTGGAGCATCTCTCTGATGAGGAGAGGCTGAAGGACTTGTGCCTTTTTAGTCTGGAGAAGACTGAGGGGGAATCTGATCAATGCTTATAAATACTTAAACGGTGGGTGTCAGGAGGATGGGGCCAGGCTTTTTTTAGTGGTGCCCAGGGACAGGACAAGAGGAAATGGGCACAAACTTGAATAGAAGAAGTTCCACCTCAACATGAGGAGAAACTTCTTCACTTTGAGGGTGGCAGAGCCCTGGAAGAGGCTGCCCGGGGAGGTGGTGGAGTCTCCTTCTCTGGAGACATTCAAACCCCACCTGGACACATTCCTGTGCAACCTGCTCTGGGTGGACCTGCTTTGGGATGGGGGTTGGACTGGATGATCTCCAGAGGTGCCTCCCAACCTCATGTGATTCTGTGATTCTTGCTGTTGGCTTCTAATTTTGGAGTGTCTTTTCCACCCACTACTGTAAGACATCAGCTTCGACTCAGACTGACCCCCTAAAGCCAGCAGAACTATGCTGGCTTAGCTCAGGAGAAGACCCCACCAGTGTCATCCCAAAGTGCCTTCCCTCCTGGCACTCCTCTCCCATGGCAAGTCCCCTTCACTTTGTCAAAAGTTCAGATCACAAGAAAGCATGGGTGACCTTAACAGAGCATGTTCCCCAACCAAGACACAGAGAGGAACACCCTGGGAAGAAAGCAGTACCTTACTGGCTTGAAAAGCTGTAAGAGACACTCAAACACCTTCTCAACATCTGCAGAGAGCCAGGACGTGCCACCGTCTCCAAACCATCACACAAAACACAATTTCATCCATTCTGCCACAGCTGAGATGGGTGAGGGATCTCCCAGAAACATGTTGAGCCCCTGGTAAAATGCTCTCTCTACAACAGATGATCCAAAAAAAGACCACCACTGTGCCCTTCTTCAGAAACACAGCTTCCCTCAGGAGTTCTGCAAATGGGCTTCTCCAGAGCACGGCCCTGCCCTGCGGTGTGGATAATTAGTGGGCGCTCCTGGGGAACGAGATACGACCTCCGGCAGCACCAAACCCCACTTGGTTAAAACCCTAAGACTTCTTAGGGCATGAATCAATCCCACCCTCTCTCCTCTCCGCATACCCAGTCGCTCACAGGACGCAAAGAACAAGTCTGGAGAGCCCATTAAAAGCCACTCGACTGGAAAATAGTTTCTGGCCTAATTCTAGCACGGGGGGTCTGAGTCGGGGAGAGAGGAATCTGACAGCAAGAGCGCGTCTGCAGGGAAGGAGGAGGCAGAGCTGTTAACTACTTCACCAATCTAATGTATAGCACTCTCCAAGAGTAATTAATAATTAATATTCGTAGCCTGCTTAAATCTGTTGACTCTGTAAACCGCAGCCTCTCACTTAAAGGACTCTCGGCATGCTGAGACAAACTGAAGAACATCCCCCACGGAGAGACTCAGCATAAACAAGAGCCACGGCAACTCCCTGCTACTCAGCCCTGGTTTTAATCCCTCTGCTTCTCTTGCCCTCTTTATCTTGCTTAATTAAGCATAATTCCTCAGCAGCATCTCTGGCCAGAGGTGGATGGAGAGTTCCATAGGACAAGACCTGGGTCTGTGGTGACTGCAACGCTATTAGTAGGGCTTTAGTGGGAGCAGTAAGGTCCTGCCTTGGCACGG